GACTGTTTTAGGGGTCCGCTATTGTTGCAAGTGTTTCCCTCCCCAAAAAAAACAAAAAAGTGCAGGCTTGTTTGTTTTCAATTCTCTGGTCTGGGCAGGCTCAGGTCGGGCTCAAGCTAGACTAAGCCTTAGCTGATGTTGAACTGGAGGCTGGTTCTGAGCTAGCCTGAGGTCTAGGAAATCCATTTTGCAAGTTGTGCCCAAACCATCAAATTTATGATAACTTCTTTACAAAAAAAGCAAGATGAATCAATCACACAAAGGGGGTTGCCCACAACCAACCCTGATCCTCTTTAATGTGATTGTTTTGGGGTCCTCTTTAGTGTTCAACTGGTCTTGGGTGGTTCCTGAAATTCCCAAACCAAAGCCTGAGCCTTTTACTTTTAAGGGTGGCTCATCCTAAGCTCTCCCCAGCCCAAAGGTAAAAGGCCTGAGGTCTAGGAAACCAATTTTTGCAAGTTGTGCCCAAACCAGCAAATTTATGATAACTTCTTTGCAAAAAAAAAGCAAGGTGAATCAATCACACAAAGGGGGTTGCCTACAACCAACCCTGATCCTCTTTAATGTGATTGTTTTGGGGCCCTCTTTAGTGTTCAATTGGTTTCGGGAGCAAATCTCAAAAGGAAGCTCTACCAATACTACATCAATTTGAAACTCAGTTCCAAATCTCAAAAGGAAGCTCCAGCAATACTAAATCAAATGGAAACTCAGTTCCAAAATCTCAAAAGGAAGCTCCAGCAATACTAAATCAAATGGAAACTCAGCTCCAAAATCTCAAAAGGAAGCTCCAGCAATATTAAATCAAATGTAAACTCAGTTCCAAAATCTCAAAAGGAAGCTCCAGCAATACTAAATCAAATGGAAACTCAGTTCCAAAATCTTAAGAGGAAGCTCCGGCAATATTAAATCAAGTGGAAACTCAGTTCCAAATCTCAAAGAGGAAGTTCCAAGCGATACTAAATCAAATGTAAACTCAGTTCCAGATCTCAAACGGAAGCTCCAACAATACTAAATCAAATGGAAACTCAAGTCTACCAATACTAAGTCAATTTTAAAGTCCCACCCAGACTTCCAGGGTTTGCCTAAACAGGGTCGCGCTGACTGGTTCCATTGTTCAGGGAAGGGATCATATTAAAGCAGGTCCAACATTATCCCGCCAGCGCTGCTCGCCAGTGGATCCTGCCCAGTATCCCGCCAGAGCAGCCCGCCAGCGGGTCCCGCCGAGCATCTCGCTGAGTATCCCAGAGTAGCTCGCCAGTGGATCCCGCCAAGTATCCCGCCAGAGCTGCTCGCCAGTAAGTCCCGCCGAATATCCCGCCAGAGCGGCTCGCCAGTGGATCCCGCCGAGTATCCCGCCAGAGCAGCCCGCCAGTGGGTCCCGCCGAGTACCCCGCTGAGTATCCCAGAGTAGCTCGCCAGTGGATCCCGCCGAGCGTCCCGCTGATTATCCCAGAGTACCTCGCTGGAAGTATCCCACCAGAGTAGCTCGCCAGTGGATCCCGCCGAGAATCCCACCAGAGCCGCCCACCAGTTTCTCCCGCTGTAGCTCGCCAGTGGATCCCGCCGAGTATCCCGCTGAGTATCCCTTGCCGGTGGATCCTGCCGAGTATCCAGCCAGTATCGAGCCGGAGCGGCTCGCCAGTATTCTCCAGTGAATCCCGCCAGTATCTCGCCAGAGCAGCTCGCCAGTCTGGTTTTGCTGAATATCCCGCCCGGCGCACAGTTGGGCTTACATTTCATGTTGGTGCCTTCGTGTTTTGAGGGCGCCCTGAGGCTCGGAAAGGGTGATGCTTTTGTGTTGCTTTGGGTTGTGAAGAAGCAACTTCGTTTAATCCCGCGTCGGGTTTCTTTTTGGGAGGGGCTTGGCTTTTGTTAACGGAACTGATGTTGGAGTTCTCGAGATCGGCCCGCAGACAAGTGGAGTTTGACACACAGACAGGTGGACAAGGCCCCAAGCCACTCGAAAACCATGCTTGAATTCACACAACCGTGTTCACGGTCGTAAGCTCGTGAGTGTGGAGGGTGGGGATTGCTCGAAGCGAAGTAATTGCCACGAGGCGCTGGCTGAATGTGCCGTCAATGTTGTCTAGAGTCCAGAGCCGCCAACAAGCTGTGTTTTCACTTTGACCTTCAACCCTGTTGCCTTTATCTTCCACCAGCGTGGAACCAAGCAGAAGGCCCCGAGAATGGTGTGCACCCCCAAAACTGGTTGGTTTCCTTCTGGCTTCCTTTAAGCCACCACTTAAAAGGGGCTCCCCATTTTCAAGTAGACCAATAGCCTTCCCATGTCAACAAACAATTGCGCTCCTTGCCACCAGACACCCTCAAGCCAATTAACATAAACCTGACTGGAGGGCCTTGGAATGGTTTCTTCAGTGTACGGAAAGCTGCCCCCAATCCACCCTTATCGCCTATCTGGGCCTATTCACCCAGCCTTCAGCTTGTTGGAAATACCTTTGTGGTTCCCAGCCATCCCCTTTAGGCTTTTAGCATTACGTTTAGCAGGGGATCTGAAACGGACAGCCCAGCAACCCAACTGCAACCCACCGTGAGCTTTCCGCAGGACAAGGACGCCCCAGAAGCCCCGATCCTGGCCAGCCCCACCAGAGGCGGTGCCTGAATCCTCATTTGCTGAGAGGCGCCTGACGTGCAATGAATCCAGGGGAAACCGTGCTGAAAAAAGTATTGACTTGTTACTGCTTTTGTTGGCCTTTAGCTGGTTTCCAAGAATGAAGTCTTGACTAGTGTCTTTGTTCGAGAAAACAAGCCAAGAGTTTGAGTGCTCATACCAGTGGTTCATAAACTCCGCCTTTGTCTACCGGATCAGCCGGATCTTGGGAGAGCCAGCCGGTGGTGCTCGACACGTTCCGCGCAATTCACCTCGTTCCGTTTCAAAAGTTCAGTGTTGCAACTTTGTGGGTGGTAGCAACTATGCGGATCCCTTCAAAAGACATTCAAGGATGCCTAAGGAAGATTCTAGGAGTTGCTATTTTTCCAGCTGACCCGCTGCACCACTGTTTGCTTCAAGTTGTCGTCGTTGTCTAAGAAAGCCTACTCGAAGCAACTTGTTTCTTGACACACAAGAACCTCAAATGGCATTGAATTCTTCAACGGTTGCTTCTCAGGAAATGGATTCCTTGTGTTTCTTGCACGCATCACGGCAGCTCTTTAGAACCTTAGCCCCTCTGGGGATTTTGCACTGAACTTGCGAAGCTAGAGACGCTTTGTGTGGAAAAGAAGACCCACTCCGTTTCTTGTAGCGAACTGAGGTTCAAACACTCATCTCACTTCCCGAGTTTCGTTTCGGATTTTATGTTTTTTGGGTTTGGACCACTTTAGTGGTAAAAAAAAAAACGTTTGGACTTTTTCTGGCCAATCCACTCGTGAAGTGAGTCATGAAAGTCCTTGCGGGTTGGAGTGTTGGTATTTCGCTATGACGTGTGCACAGATGCTTGTATCAGGATGAATCCCCCTTGGAGCCCCGTAGGTCTCATGGCTTTGCTTGGCACATCCTCGGCTATGTCTCTGCATGAAATTCGCCGATGACGGAGTCCAATGTGGGGCAGGCTATGTGGGCACTGCTGTAGCAGTGGGAGCCTGCCCCAGAGGAGATCCAACAGGCGGCTCTTTGTACCTCTATGCTTTACCATCCGCGTCTCGAGCGCAGACTGCGCGGTGGTTTGGGGCGTAATTACCTCGAGTGGAATGACCTGAGGCGAAAATGTGCGGCCCGGCCAGAGCTGCCCCGGAGAAATAAGTATTTGTTTTCTCCTTCGCGTAGTGGCTTGTGGGTATTGGAAGCCATCTTAGAGACTGGGGACTTGGATGAACAAACCTGGCGGATTGATGCTGGTTCGCTTTGGGAAACACCCCGCGTCGTAAGCGTGTGTTTCTATGCATCCTGCAGCTCTTCGGGATGGCGAGCTGTCCAAATTATCCAAAGCGAGCAAAACGAAGCTTTCAGTTTCAACCAGATGTCAACCACAAAGATGGCCACCTGTTCACTTTTGAGAGCTACATTGCTTCACAAGGGTCGGCCTCCCTTTTTATGAAGTGCCAGATATCGCACAACGGTCAACTGCCCGAGCTTCCGAAAACGGCAGATTCCCCCCCCCCCTCCCTCCGCAAAAAAAGAAAGTGCCTTCAAATCGATTTCTTAGCAACTTTCAAGGTTCCTCACCATTTGACAGTTGCTGAAAGTTGCGCATTCCAAGCTCTACACCAAGCAACCCCAGTTGTCCCTCAATGGACTGTTTTTTAGGTTCAGTGGGTATGGAACGGACGGCATTCAGCAACACAAGCTGGGTCTGATCCTTTTGAACAAACCCACTGTCCAATATCACCGCTTTGGTTCACTTGGCATGTTCTCGGACAATCTTCAACACAAGCTCACCCATTAATTAGGTCCTTGCTTATTCTTAGGTCTGGTTTGTAAAGTATGGCAATTTGCTCAGAAAAAATATGTGGATGGACTAAATCCGATTTGGCACCAATTTGGGATGGATTAAATCCCCATTCCAACTGGTGCCGATCGGATCCGATCGGCGTGGATTTTGTAACCATATTCCACATTGCAGGTGATGCGAACCCAGGACGAATAAACCCTGACGTTACATTCATGGGAGAGGGGGTGCCACTTTGAAGGGATCCTTTACTCACCTTTGTCCACTTTTAGTCACGGCCCCTGAAAAGGCTATGGAGAACTGAGTTTGCTTTGCGGGGCCAGCCGCATTAATCCAACAGTTCGATCAACCGGGTCCAACAAAAGTGGATACACTTCCGTGGCCCGTGGCTTCTCAAGCTTACTTTGGGACCTTTTTCCTTTAAACCCCCTCACTTTCTGAGTTCATGGACTTTATACTTTTTGGGTTTGGACCATTTGGGCTGGTAAATGCAAAGTGTGGTTACTTGTCCTAGCCAATCCACTCGTTCGGAAGTGAGCCCGTTGAACCTTAGGCTCGGTTCTCGCGTCTTCCAGAAATCACCCGGAACTCGGTGAGGCGCATGTGAGGGCGGCGGTGGACCAATGGGAACACGCCTACGACCTCGGGGAGGTGCCCTCGGTACCCGACGACGTGCCGGAGGCGGCGTTTCGGCGAGAAAGCTTCGTCTACGCGTTTCATGGGTTCTATCAAATAGGTTCCTTGCGGATGCACGCGTGATAGTCCTTTGTTTGAGTGTGCCCTTTTGGGGGGTTCCTTGATGTTGGGCTTGGCCAACAAAATTTAAGGTGTTGCGGGGGGGGGGGGGGTCAGATCAATTTGGCTAAGTGTTTCCCTTTAGGGTTCAAAAGAGACTTTTTAAGGGACCCCCACAGTAAATCCTCCGAAATCAACCCTACCACTATAATATGACCCACCCTGCCCCTGTGACTCTATGACCCTACAAAACCTCGGATCTCGATCCGATAGGTGTGTGCGGCCGAGCTGGCTTCATGGCTGAGGGAAGGCCGCTGCGTGGCGATGGACCTTCTGAGAATTGGCTTGGGCTCCAGTGTGGGAAGTATCATTTTTAAGTGGTTTTCCCAACGGTCATCCCATGTAAAGGACCTTCTGATCAGCCCGCATGTGTCCCATTTCAGCCCACAAACGATGGAATATTGGTCTGTCTCTGGGGCATGTTGCCAGTCCCTATATTTCACTAATCTGTTTAAACATCACCTTTTGGACTGGGTGAGTTTCCTCTTGGCGCCCTGAAGGGTAGAACGATCACAAGAGCCGGATTGATTCTGGCACCTGTAGTTTCTTCTTCGTGACTTTCTCTTTGGGGTTCCTTCAAGATCAACGCGTTGGTGAAACTTGCCCAAAGCGAATCGACCGAAGGCACCAGTCTAACTTGAAGAATGCGCCACTTATGACCGTCACTTCGTTTGGTTTTAGGGTACCCCACCCATTCTAAATGTTGAGGCCCTATGGAACCCAACCGTCGTTGCACCCTACCAAGTTAACTTGCTGCTTAAGAGGTCGCACGCCAACAATGGTCGTTGCTTGAAATCTTACATTGTGAAGAAACCCAAGATCCGGCACCAAACTAAAAAACTTAACGAACAAGTACCTGAACGGATGCATCCTAAAAACCACCTGCATTTGTAAGGGAATAGGAATCCCCTAAACGAGCTGGCACAAAAGATGTGGTGCACTGCTTTAAATGCATCCTTGAAGGGACCCTGGAGTGGTCCTTGTTGTTTTATGGTTTCCTCATGTTGTGTTCATGATTTCTGGATAGATGAGCCAAAAGCAGAAAAAACAGGGGATCAAACCACCCTATGTGTCACAGTCAGGGGGCGACCTTGTGGTTTGAGTCAATCTGGAAATCAGTGCAGCCCAAAGAGTGACCCACTTGTCTCAAACCCGTTTCATTTGTAAGTGGAAACCCTCCAACCCGAAAGAAGAAGCAAAAATATGGTTGTGCGTTCTCATGGAGCCCAGAGGCCTTTTGGGGAAACCCCAGCGCCACAACTCCTTTTTTTTCCAGGACTGTCGCGAGCCCACGGAAGCGCACTACGAGCGCCGAGTGCCCGCGATCCCCGCGCAGCTCTCGGCGCCCTTCGGGCAGCTCACCGGGGCGCCCGAGCGCCTGGCGCCGCAACTGGCGCGCCTCAAAGCGGCCCAGGCGGCGAAAGACGAGAGATGGAGCCGTGGGACGGGTTCTTTGGTGCTTTGGGTCAGTTTGTTGTCGTTTCTTTTTGGTTTTTGGACCTGATTTTTGGTTGCTTGGTGGTTTCCGTGGTTTTGGTTCTTGGGCGGAAAAGGCTGTTGAGGGGCCAAAGCACGTTTAGTTTGGCACTTCACAGGGACCACCCGTTTTGGCAGGCTGTCCAAGCAAGTCCTGTTTGATGTGTTCAAAGAAGCTACCCGTTTTTGCGTGCTTTCCATTCGGAAGTGACGAGGGAAACGAAACGCCCTTCTCCAGACACACGTGGTGGCCTTCTCCACACACGGCGGCACCAGCGGCAACTGCGGCCCGGAGCCCAAGCCGAAGGAGAACTCGAGAGATGGTGGCGCTCGCTCGTCATAGATCCAACAACCCCCCCCCATCCCCTTGGTTTCCTCCAAGTACGTCCAGTTGTTTTTCCGCCTCCTGGGAAAAAAGCATAATATGTCCAGTCTTTGCAACCAAAAAGGTGAAAATACAACTATTCGTATGCAAATGGAAGCAAATAAGACCTCTTAAAGACTTGAATCCTGTGAACTTGACCCCGCAATTGTCCATTTATTCACTGGGTGTGCCTATCTTGAAGAAACCGTTTTGGGAATTATGGTCAGCTTTGGGAGTGATCGCCAATGTGAAAGGCAAACCAAAGGGAAATCACTATTCTGGTGGATCCCCCGATTTTTAGGCACCGCTGACACCAGCTTCGCTGTTTTTTGCATGTTTTTTTTTGTTTTTGGTTGTTTGTTTCTAAACATGTTTAGTGTGGTGGCCAAGTTGCAAGGGTTCCTGTTGCCGGGATGGTGCTCGAAGGTGCAAATCAGTCGTTGGACGCTTTTGCTGGGCTGCTCAGGGTTCCTTTGGATACTCTGTTGGTTGTGCAACAGTCAGATGGGCAGAAACTAGCAACAGATTGTGTTTGTTTGTTCTGCGGCATTTTTCTTGCTGCTCAACTCTTTCCGGAATTGCTTGACAGCCTTCCCTCGGTAAAACAAGTTTGAGGCTCCCGGAGCTGCGACAAGCATTGCCTTCATGAGGCATGTGTGCCGCTCTGCTCATCGCCGCTCGGAATCCTACGGGACTGCTCCATGCTCCAAGTTGTTGGAAATGGGCCCATCCAGACCTCCTACGAACCACATGGGTATGTGCCAAAATAGGGGCACCGCCGAGATTGGTGGTTTCTTCCAATTAACTCCTGGTCGCCCTTTTAAAACCCCCAAAAAAAACGCTACCCTCCCAGTCCAAAGGTGAGGATCTCTTCAAAGGCCTAGGATACCAGTGGCGGTGAAAATCACCCAAGTACCTGATTCAAAGGATCCAAACCTTAAGCAAGCAACACGGGAGTTGGGGGAAGCCCGGTATGATGCTTGCTTGGGGATCACGCGCTTTGGCTTCGTGAACGTGTGAGCCACTCGTGAAGCTGGCCTCCAGAAAACCGGAAAGGCTGGATGGTAAAGCAGATGCTCAACTCAGGTCGAGCGACATAATTTGTCGAGATTGGGGGTCCGTGTCCTATTCAAAACCCGAACGACGGCAGCGTTTTACCTTGACCCCCGCGAAAGTCTGGCAGGATGCGCTAGTTGAAAAACCTCTTTAAAGCGGACCCCTTCCTTTAGTTGTGTCTAAAATGCAAGCCCCGTCGCTTTTCCCCATGGAGCTGGCACTTCCACTCCGAACCTGCAGTAGTTAGAACGAGGGGACCTGACTTCCTTTGGAAGGATCTCCCACAGGCATCCCAGTAGCTGAGTTGGTTTCCCAACCAAGAATGGCGTGGGTGTGCATTTTTATTGAGGGCCCTTTTCAGGGAAACCAAGCTTGTTTCCAGGCATTGGCATTTGGGAGGGCCCCTGTTCTGGCTGGTGCCCGAATGGTCCCAAGTTCTTCGACCGAACAGCTCCCTTTTCCGAGGATGTCTTTGGCATGGACGCCACTCGTTTCTGGCGACTGGAAGGCGGCGTGGACGAGTGGATCGACTGGGCTGTGCCTCAGACGCACGCTGTCTCAAAGCTGGGGGCAGGCTGGCTCCCGCAACATGTGTCTGTCCCTAAAAGGGGGTGACTTTTTTCGGCAGCCCCCCAACAAAAATAAGTTATTGAATTGTTGTTTGGCTTTGGTCCCTCTTTAAAACGGTTTTCCCTCGGCACAATCCCAGAAAAGGTTTCCTCGGACACAGACACCCATATCTAAGATCAGGTAGCCCTCAGCCGTGGGTCAGGGGCTTGAGATTCGAAGCTCTTGTTCTTGTAGCTGCGAGAAGCCACCCCCAAACCTATAGCCACAATCAAAACCTCTGAAAAATATGTTGTGGTGCCTGTGAGTCGCCCGCTGCCAATAAGTAAATGCCTCTTAGTATGCCTCTTGGTAAACCAACACGTAGTTGTTGTGAAAACCGTTCCTTTTTTTTGCAGGTCCCGAGGTAAAAGATGGTCAGCCCTGGTTCCACTGCCTTGTTCTTGATATTCGTGCCTTATTGGTTCCCTTTTCCCCCTCACTTGCCCAACACTGGCTGGGATTTCCCGTTTTGGACAGGGTTGCTCAGAGCCTCCAGCATGCTGGAGTATGGCGAATGCCCGAAATATAGCACGCAGCACTCTGGCAAGCCCGCGAATTCACCGGGTTTCATGGCGCGGTTGGTTCACTTTGAACACTCCCCAGCAGATTAAAGTGCAAACCCATAAAAGCCACCATTCATACAGGAATCTGCTTTTGGGGACCCTCCTTTAGGGTTCCTTGTGAATTTGACGTATGTAATGTTCAACAAGTTCTAATAAACGGTGTCCGATCGCTCGCGCCCAAGGACGGGATTCCTTGCGTTAGAACCCGTTTATGATCGACTCCGCGTGCTGGTTCTCAGAGAATAACGGAGTGACCCTAACTGACCCACTGCTCCCCAAATTCATTCCCAAAAGCCGCGGGACCCTTTTGATTGGTGTTTGAAGGGAAACCAAAAGGAAACCACTCAAACCACTCATCTCAGGGGACCCCTATTCTGAGAAACATCCAATTAGGGTCCCCCCAAATTGAGGGAACCCACCGCAGGTCTCCCCACTCGCGGCCTCCCGCGCGCAACCGGCACCGCACGGTCGCGTCAGGCCGCTCACCCGGACGCTGTCGCTCAGCTGCCGGCGCCCACCATCTAGCAAAAGCAAGCCCGTGTTGGGCGAAAAAGTGCGGAGGGAGGGGCCAGGCGCATTTTGACTATGGGGAGGGGGGTTGGGGGGTTGCATGTTGAGGGTTCTGAAAATTGCTTTGCGAGTTGTTTATGCACCGATCTGCCTAGAAGCGAACCCATAGTGGTTATACACCCCTCAGGTCCCCTTGGGTGGAAGCCCTCTGAGATTGTTCAGCTCGAAAAGTCAGGGGGGGCGGCAGCTCTTCTCGCAGGCACCGCGTCAGCGAGGGCGGCCCGGCTCCAGCCCCAGCATGTGGCATGGTCAGCCCCAATAATTGGTATTCTTTGGTATTCCGAATATATTCCCTTTTCGTATTGAGAGAAGTCTGGCTATTGCAACACCCGCCTCTAAGCCTCGAACCGCCCAAGCTTTTCGCCAGGCAGCCGCAAGCCTCTAAGCCTCCAGGCGCCTACGCCTCTAAGCCTCAAGCCTGCAAGGGGCTAAGCCTCTATTCCAAGTCTATATAAGCGTCTAAGCTTCTATCTAAAGCAGCGGGAAGAGGCTTTCAGGCTTAGAGGAAGAGGCTTACGTAGATGCTCAGAGGCTTAGAGGCTTAGAGGCTTAGAGGCTTAGAGGCTTAGAGGCTTAGAGGCTTAGAGGCTTAGAGGCGTGGCGTCTTGAAGCTTTAGAGGCTTAAAGAAGTGGGAAGAATTAGAAGCTCAGATTCGTGGAGGCTTGGAGCTTTACAGGATTAGAAGCTTTGAGACGTGGAGACATTGTGCGGCCTTTTGATTGCCCAAGGCCTTTGCAGGATTCTGTGCAGCTGATCGAGCAAACCTGCGTCCTTGTAAAGCTGAGCTCGGGCCATGCTGCCAAGTTTTGTTTGTCAACCAAGCATGTGAAAGCAAACAAAGGAAGAAGAACCACTCCCAATAGAAATTCATGGAATCCGTACCAAGCGCCATACAAGGTTAAAAAACCTTAAGGGCTCACAACAACTATAGCATCTCTGTTTAACTGCAACCGACCTTTGGCATGGCCCCTGACAAAGGAGTAGGAGATTTACGGCAAAACCCTCTCAACACTGCAAGCTAGAAACCTGTTCAGTCATGGAAGCAAAGTCATCAGGCGTCCTTTCAAACAACGGAAGAGCACTTACCAAGCCCCAAACAAACCTAAATAAAGCCAAGAAAGTGCAATTGTCTCTTCGTAGGGTTCACCTACTCCGTAGTTGGATTTGGATGTTGGGAGTGGTTTTCCGCTTCCCCTCTACAAGATCTAGGGGTGCAAACCAACAAGCAATAATCCGAAATCAGTTTTCTTAACGCCATTTTCCGCCAGACGCCTGCCTGCGCAAGGCATTAAAAAAAGACGCCGAAGAACGCTAGAAACCAGAGGGTGCCAGATTAGCCAAACACCACACTCAGGAACCTCTAGTCTTAGAGATTTGAGCTCGGAAGCCAAAGTACATCAACGCTGGTAGTCACTAGGGGCCTTTGCCTCTTTAGCAGACTTAGAAGCTTAGAGGCGCGAAAGGCTTGTAGGCTTAGAGGCTTTTGTCGATTGCAGACCCCTTTTCCTGAAAATGACACACCCCAAAAAGCCCCATGTTTGGCCCCCTCACCTACTCCAAATCCTCACTGGGTGGTGGAAGACAATCTTCCTCAACAATGGCCCTACTTGCTGGGTTGCAAATGTGGACGCAGGGTTGATGCTCTACCCGCACGGCAGCTGAGGTCACTGGCATCAACTCTCACCTTGGCAGCATAGTTTGGGTGGCTGGCGGCCAGTGGCGGGCTTAGTTTGCCGGGCCTGGCCGGCAAATTCGTTCGTCGCAATTAAAATCAGAAGTTTGGAAGAGGAGCACTCAACAAAATAACTCCACCTTTCATTTTGGGGATCGGGATGCAGTACTGAAGTTTTTTAAAAGCTTCGAACAATCATAGCATTGCTGCCGTTAGGTGCCAAGACCCCAGCAAAAGGGGAACAGCTCAACCAGGGTTGATCTAAGCGATCAAAACAAGTTTGGGGTCTGACTCAAGCATGCCTTGTTTCATGGTACTTTGACCTGCGTTGCTTCTTGTCAACATGAGTCTTGAGAAATGTCCGCAAGCGCTTGTCATACCAGTAAAGTGGAGCGGAACCATCATTGGCGTGGATGTGATGACAGCTCGGGCTCTCAGGACAGCGTCCAGTGCGCTGCTTTTGGGCCCTAGCTTGCACGCAGTGAGTGATGGGGCGCGTTCGCAAGGTCATTAGTGATGATATCCAGGCTGAGGAGGATTTTGCGGCGTGGTGGGCTGAGCAAACCCAGTGCCATATGTTCCTGAATGAGTCAAGAGCTTCCGGCAGCTGGCGCCGGTCTGCGACGACGAGCTGCTTTCACCAGACAGCCATTCGATCGATGCCCTACTTGACAGACGCAAATGCTGATTTGTACGGCTGGCTGCAGGCAGTGCAGAACAGCGATGCTGCAGGAGTTGCGAGATTTCTGGAAATCCCCCGTGGATCCCGATTCGGACGCATATGATGAGAACAAAGCCCTTGTGACACCCATGCAAAAAGGCAGTCCTGCACTGCTTGCTGCAAGCCTGACAAAGACAATGCTAACACTTTCGGAAAGACTCCCATGCACTTTGCTGCCCAGGAAGTTGTGCGTTGCTGCACGCCCGTGCTGACACGAACAAATCCGACGAATTTGGAAGGACTCCCGTGCACGTTGCTGCGAATGGCCATCCGGTTGCGCGTTTCTTGCAGTCATCGCATGTAGCTTCACCTAGCGTCGGCGAGTGGACTAAAGCTTGTCCGGGATTTGTCCGCAATGGTTTGACTTCGAGAATTGGTCGAATGATACGTGTGATGCAAGTATGCGTTCGTTGTGTAGAAGATTATGTTGTTTGTGTTTTCAACACGTGTCGCTAAACAAAAGAACTTATCTCGTTTTGGGCCAGACTCTATCCACTGGCAAAGCTGCGCGGCTTTCTCGGTCAGGCTTCCTGATGGAAGGGTATTGGGTTTCATGACGGCGGAGCAGTCAGTGGTGTTTGTAATGTTTAAAAAGTAGATGCACCTACTCACTCATCCACATGCTATATGATGTGTGCTTAGATATTTGAGGGTTTGTAAATTAGATAAATCCAGCTGGTCTATTTGGTTCCATGCCCCTGCCTTAACTTCTAGGCACATCGCAGGAGTTGCGCAAAACATCAGTCGCTTTCAAGGGCGTCCATGGCCACTTTGCCGGTGCAGCTTCAACAAGGATGAGACCTCGGTCCAGCTTGACGGTCCCTTTTGAAAGTCCCGCCTCGCGCAACAGCGGTTAGGACCAAACATTGCGAACCATTGGAAGGTTTACAGGTTGAATTCCACTCAGGTTCCCTGAATAATAGGTGGCCGTTAAACGGGGTGATTTCAAAGGGAGCACTGCATAAGATTCCCCACCTGGAAAAACATCCCACAGTGGCGCCTCAGCTCCCGAATCACCTCTTTTTGACTTATCTTTTACTTTTCCCTCCCGATTCTGGGGCCCAATTTCGTGAAGATACTAGTATGCCATTGGATGTTGGAGCCCGGCATTGAGAGGAAAAAGGTTCACCACTAGCGCCCAAAACCTATTCCTTTTGGCTCCTAGTTTTACCTGGGTAGTAAGTTCTGTATACTCCTTTATAGCAATCTTAGAGCCAAAAGTCAATGAGATTTGGGCACTGCTCACTTGACGAGGGGTTCCTTATTCAACAGGAGGTTCGTTCAAACCCAACTGAATATTGCACCTGTGGAATGATCTGCGCAAGGTGGGGCTTGATGGACCTCGACCGGGGGATGGTCTTGCCGCCTCGGTTGGGGTCCGTAAGTCGCCGGCTGCTCCGCTTTCTTGTTGGTCTTTTTCTTGGGGATCCATTCAACAAACGTGTAAAGAACATGTCAAGGATTGACTATTTGCCAATTTTGACGTTCCCCTTGACGCGATTCCATGGAAGCCACCCAACCTTCGGAAAGTCTCTTCGTGACTGAGAGCTCCAAGAAATCGCCGAGCTCGCCTAGCCCTACAAGACCAGGATTTGGGTCCCGCGCTTCGCTCTCTCGGAGCCCTTCTTTTTCCCAGACCTTTCCCAAGACACTCAGGAAGCAACATGTCAGAAACCCGTCCAAAGCCAGTCCAAAAAGCATATTTTTGGAGATCTCCAGTTGTAGATCTTCGTTCTTCGTTCCTGAAGGGTTCTCTCCCCTGGTCGGGATACTCCACAGCGCCAGGCTCGCACCTTTGCGTGCTTCAAGTGCGCCGGTCTCCAGGTTTCTGCGTGCTTACAGAGACGTGGAACCTGAGAAGCCACAAAGGAAGCGTGGACTCCTCCCCCCGCATTTGTTTTGCATGAATCTTGAAACACCCCGAATTCGAGATAGAGGCATCTTTTTGTAGAGGACCCCTCCTTTTGCAATGTTCGAGGCCAAAAAGGGGATGCCCCGTTGCCCAAGGGAATATCGAAGCCCAACAAGCCACGGAACCCAAGCCATTCTTTCGGAAACCAACAAAGGCTTTTTTGCAACTACTGTGATCTACTGAGGGTGAACAAAATCCTGCACCGCTTTGAAACCACCAGAAACCACTGTTTGCTGGCAGTTGCAGGGGAATCATCAAAACTAGGGTTTCTTAGGTGGTGCGAAATGGAGTTCGTCCATCCACAGCAGGCGGCAGGCGGTGTGTCACGGCGCGGGAGTTGGATCCTATGAAATTACTCGCATCACTCTTCCCTTTTGCACCCCTCCTTCGTGCGTGGGTTCCATGTTCTCTTGCTAGGGCACTACATTTGGCCTGCACTTGTTTTTGCGGCAGCCAGACTCCTTCCTTCCTTCCTTCCTTCCTTCCTTCCTTCCTTCCTTCCTTCCTTCCTTCCTTCCTTCCTTCCTTCCTTCCTTCCTTTCCTGCATTTTCTTCCTATGGGCCAGGTACCCAGCCATAGGCGTGCAGCACGCAGTCACGGATAGTACTTCGCAGTGCGGCGCCCGGCCTTTCCGCCAGAAAGGCATTC